GTAGTAGTAGTAGTAGTAGTAGTAGTAGTAGTAGTAGTAGTAGTAGTAGTAGTAGTAATGGTAGCAGTCACAGGTTTGATCCCACTATTAATCAGCTAAGGAGCTTTGACTTGCTCTCTTCTCAACCTGGGTTGGTTCATCCTTTCTAGCCTGAAGGCCTCCCACTTCTGGAGGACTCACAATATTAGTACTTTGGACACTCAATCTTAGCTCACTGCAGCTCACAACTCCTGAGCTCAAGCAATTCCAGCAGTCTCAGTCATTCCAGTGACAGGAATTACAGACATGTACCACCATGCCTGACATCCTGATTTTCAAAGGAGGAGCAAATAAATCTCAGAAACTCTTAAGAGATGAGTTTTAATTCCCAGAAAAATTATCAAAGATATGATAAAGGTGATGGTTTGTGGGGACTTAGTGTTAGGAGCTTAGTAGACAGCATAGAGCCAGTAAGGAAAGTCAAATTAACCTCATTTCCTTCCATAATAGGGTTACCAGCCTGGGAGATCAGGGGAATGTTGTAGGTGCTGGGTATCTGGATTTTAGCAAAGCCTTTGACAGTATCTCATGATATTCTTATGGGCAACAGGGAGAGATGTGGACTGGATACAATCATGCTCTGGTTCATAGTGAAAAGATCATATGGGATGCCTCAAGGATCCATGCTGGGTCCTGCACCCTTTAACATTCTTATCAATTACTTGGATGAAGGCAGAGAAAGTACATCTACCCAGTTTCCATATGAAAAATATGTACGTTGACAGAATCAGGACTCAGACAGTCAATAAACATAACCATTTATTAAACTATATATGTGTGTATGTATATATATATATATACACATATGTGTGCATTTATTTGCGTGTGTATATACATACACACCTATATACATACATACACATACTTGCAACACTAAGATTTCTGATGCCAACTTGTAGACTCTGGCAGCTGAAAGGGAACTGAGAGACCTTCTAGGTGGGTGCCCAGCCCAGCCCCCTGCACACAGTACACACTTAATTAATAGTTGTTGGATCAAATCACATCCAATTTCTCATTTTATGGGTAAGGAAATTGAGGCTCAAAGAGACTGCTGTACTTGTCATAGATCATAGGGGGCAGGGCTGGAATTAGAACCCAGGTTCTCCCACCTCACAGGCTACTTTGCTACTTTCCCTGGAGCTCTGATAACAGGGATTACAAGCCACACCATTGAAGAATGAAAAAATTGGGGTACGGAGGATGAGGGAGAAGGAGCTGAAGGTTCTGATATTAGTACTACTCATCTGAGGGCTGGCAAAGAGCGCAGGCACGCTTCTCTTATAATTGCCTCTGCTTCTGCCCTCCCCTCTCCTCCATCTCTATTCCCTACCATCCCCCATCCACCCCAGACTATGATTCCTTGACCTCCATTGTTTCTCAGGTCAATGTTGGTTTAATATAAGAACTTCCTAACAGTTATAGCTGTCTAAAACTAGGAAGGGGATGCCTTATGAAGTAGAGAGCTCCCTGTCCCTGGAAGTATTCAAGCAGAGGCTGGATAAGCCCCATGAAAAATGCTGCCACTTCTATGTTTGAGGTTCTAGCATTCTGAATCTCTGCCAAACAGTAATGAACTGGTAGAAGGCTGGTCCAGAACTCCTGAGGGGTTCCCAAAGTCAAAGACAGGCTGAACGATGTGGGAGAGAACCTCCCTGAACCTCCCACCACTATCTCTCCTCTTGGTCAGGTAGCCAAAGCCTCCCTCTCTTTCTCTTCATTATCACAGTGTATCAGAGACCTTGGAAGTCAGATACCCAGGGGACCAGGCCTTGCTTTGCCACCAACTTGCTGCATGAACTTGGCCAAGCCTGGGGCTCAGTTTCCTCCTTTGTAAAACAATGTCATTAGACTATACTGTTTCTATAGTCCCTGCCAGCTCTGACATTATGATCCTCAACCCAGACCCTAAGCTATGGAATATTTTTAAAGGGCTTTGGAAACTACAAGGGATATATGGGTGGGTGATATATGTAACAGTAAGTGTTGAAACTGGGACACCAATCCCTTTTCCCCTCTAGTCATCAAGCTCAGTAATGTTTTCACCATATGACAAAGGAAAGAGAACAGGGAAGGGGTGGGAGAAGCATGGGAAAGAAGGGAGTTACAAAGGGAGTGTGTCCTATGGGGGTTGGGAGCTGTTCCTTTCAGGATAAAATGGGCTAACAGAATTGTTTCAGCTAAGAGGAGCTTTCCCGTGAAGCTGTGGATCCCACTGTTCCAGCCAAGGACAGAGACAGAGTTATGTGACCACTGTGGAGCCCCTGGGAGGAAGGACACTCCCTCGAGATGAACCACCCCTGATATAACCATAAGTGGGAGACTGAGAGCTTAATCCAAGTTCATGTAAAATACCCGACAGACTGGGCTGAGTTGAATCTGAGAGCTCAGAGACCAACAGTACAAGCTGCTATGATGTTTTATTTGAAATAGAATTGCATATAAAAAAGAATGTACAAGAATTAACCAGAATTAGCTCATTTCATATTATACATGACAGCAGTTTTGAACGAAGGAAATGCTCATCCATTTCTAGGAGGCAAAAAAACATAGAGCATCCACTTGTCCTTCAAGCTTCATGGAGGAAAGTTGCTTTCATTAAAAATTAAGTTAGCCACGGAGATTCAGTTTTTTGATGATCTGGAAGAGAGCAAGCTCTGGTTACTACCCTGCAATCACTGACCCAGTAGCTTCCACTCCCAGCTAGGGCTTGGAAGGAGCAAATCTTATTTTTGAAAATATTGTTTTAACAATAATAATCTTTGGGTTCAGAATAAAATTAGATTGGAAAGGAATGCTGGAATCTCAGCATTGGCAGAAACTTCAGTGGGCATCTGGCCCAACCTCCCTCTCTTCCTCAACTCCATGCAACCAAGGGGCATCCCATGGAAAGAGCTGATGAATTTGGAGCCTGAGGTTCTGGGGTTGAATCTTGCCTCTAGAACTTTCTACCAAAATGACACCGGGCAAGTCACTTAATGCCTCACGGCTCCCATTTTCTTCTGTAAAATGATCAGGTTACACTAAGTGACTTCTAACTTCCCCTCTGGCTCTGGATCCTCTAATCCTAAGAAATGAAGACATAAGGAAACCCCCTCCATAGCGAAGCTGCCTTGACCTCAGCACTCACATTCCTCCTGGGTTCAGTCAGATGCCTAGACATCCCTCCGTCGTCTGCCGAATGCTTTAGCCCCCACATTGGTTGGCACGAAGTTGCTCTTGACCACACCTCCTGACCTGCTTAGGAAATCCGCCAACCGGTGGGTCACACAGGTAGCAGTGTTGCAGCCACGCTTCTGAGCAGTGACACTGATTTTCAAAAGGGAAAAGAAATGTTCGGTGTCAGTCTCTCCCAATAGGATGCCGTTTGGGGCTTGCTATGGGCAGATGCAGACACAAGAGCAAGACGAAGGTACTCACTGGCAAAGCATCCCATAACAATAAGGGACTGTTTTAAACTCGGTTACCAGCACTGAAGATCATAATAAGGTCCATTAAGAAGGAAGACATTCCCTGGAGTCCCTTTGAGGCATTCATCCCATGATTTTAGGTATTCTACAGTGAAAATTTCCAAACCTTCTTTAAACCATCAACCACATGCTAAAATTCCTTTCTTTTTGCTGGCTTCTCCATGGATTCTCCTCCCTACCCTCGCCCAAGAAGCTGTGTTCAGCAAAGACCTATGAGAACAAGAAGGAGAACCTCTGGTGCCATTGCTCAGTCAGCTATAACAATCTGTTTCTAGTTAATTCAAACACCCTGGCACTTCTCTCCTTCGTGCACTTCCTGTAATAAACACATACAGCTCCCATTAGCAGCCAGGAGCAAAGGAGAGTAGAGGATGGTTGCACCCTTTTAGCCTCTCCAGTGACTTCCCCAGGGCCACATCCCCATCCACATAACATAGGGAAAAGGGCTTACCTGAAGGAGTCCCAGTAACCACAGAGATTGCTGTGAGCCACCTTTCCATGAGTGCTTGCTTACCTGTTCCACAGCTCAAGCATGTCCGAAAGTTTGTGGCCAAATAGTGTGCTCAGCAATCTATGAACTCAGACTAACTCTGAGGTCCCTCAAGTCTAACTCTTGATGAGAACGTGACATTTGAGGGAGAGGGGTTAAGGGAATAAGACTAAAGCAATCGACATGACAGCTGAGAGCCTTTTAAAAATGATAGGTTTATTCAACATGGCTAAGCATGGAAGCTGTGCCCATCGGTACAACCTGAAGCCAAAGGCTGATGTGTAGAATGAACTGTCCTAGACAAGGAGTTGTACCCTCTGGCAGCACTTTCAGATCGATTCATTGATTAGTAAAAATCTGAATGGTTTTTTTCTTCCTTAGCCAGACTTATTTGTGCATGACCTTTGCCCTTCCCACTTTAAAGTCTCAAACATTCTCTGTCAGCAATTGTATCTAATGAACACAGCAGAATCAGAAATCATAATTAAAAAAAAATACATGCATCAAGGTAAAGACAGAAAGGAAGGAAGGAAATGAGAAAGGAAGTCAAGGAGAGAACATGGGAAAAGGCAGAAAGCCAAGCCAGTCTAGTTGCTCCCCAGGACATCCTCAGAGTTTGCGTAACGATCATTCTCCAGGTCGCTCAGCAGGTCTCGTTTCTTGCCAGGTGTTCGCGCCCCGACGTCAGTGCGCGTGTAAGTGTGTAGCCTGTGCAGTTCCTGTGAGAGCTTGCCCAGCAAACAGGTACTCAGATTACTGCACCGCTTAGCTCTAGGTCTGTCCAGGCTGCAGGGAAAAAAACATGCCAGAAGGTAACATGCAATGGTAACATGCATTTGCCCTTCACACTAGGCTTAGACTGATTTCATGCAAAGGGCTAAGGCTGTTGGGGGGTATGGGGAGAAGGGAAGAGGTCAGGATCAAAGGGGTTGGGAGGTTTTGGAGAGAGAGACCATATACTCAGAGTTAGGAGAACACAGTCTGAGGGGAAAACAATGCCAGTTGAAAAAGAAAGGGGAGATCGATGCACCTTGACCTAGAACTAGCACTGAAGGTTCTCTCTAAGGCATTCAGCATGCTGGTCAGCCTATCATGCTCAGCAGGAGGCATTCATTAAAGAAGATGCAAAGAGCTCCCATGCCTCTGGCCTGGAGGATGCTGAGGAAGGAGGAAGAGAGGAACTGGGATCTGAACTCCATGCCTCTGGGCAGCATGCACCATTGCAACAGAGAATTCTAGGAGCAGCTGCCGGGCCTGATCTCCAAACATACCTGTGAAACGGCTAAATTTTAAGATCGCCCTTTCTCTACCAAGTCCAACTCACCCTCTACTGGCATTTTTTTGTGTGTCATTAAGAGTTGCAAAGAGATAATTGGAAGCAGGTTAAAGGGGCAGGAATGGTCGGGGACTCTTGTCAGGTCATGGTGTCCTTACCCCAGACTGCACGTTGATCACACCTAAACCAGTTCCGGTAGGTAAAGGAAGGAGTCTCTACTCCATGAGGGTAGAAGGGGAATCCCCCAGAGAAGGAGATCGCAGAACATCTAGTACCGGTTTGTAACAACTCTCACAAACATGAAATCCTTGGGCCTGGCCTCCATCTATCAGAGTGCAGTAAGAGCCAGCTGCCTCTTACTCTACCTTCAGTAGATACCTAGAACAGCTGGTCCCCATCCCCTGAATAACAAGGACAGCCTAAGGCAACTTCTGGCCAGATGTATTCTTTTGTAAACATCATCATTGTAGGTTGGCTTGGAAAACAATTTAGCTCTCTTGTATTAGCAGGAGAGAAAAGTCAAGCATCAGTATTCAGGGCTGTGGCAGGTGGAGGAAGCCACCCCCACATGACTGGTTTTGTACTCTGTTGTGATGGTAAACCTTACCTGTTGTCCTCAGTCACCTGATCCAGCTCATCGGCTTTCATCTGCACAAACTCCTTCACCAAAGCATTCAGCAGGTGCCTCGCTTCATCATCGCTGAGAGACACATGGTCTGGCATGACAGATTCAAACCCAGGCCTAGGGGGAGAGGGAAACTCCTGCAATATGGGCCACTGGAGAGCACCCCCTCCCCAGGAGGGATTCTGGGGTGGGTCCACCTCTTACCTGAATGGAGCAGCCTGGAGGCTGTCCATCTGGCATACAACCAAGGCAAAGAAAGCCAGGAAGGAAGAGAGCTTTAGGAGGATCATGGCGTCCTCTCTGGAACAAGAGAGAAACAGAAACCTTTGGACTCTTGGATCACCTCACCATCATCACCACCCCAAAACTTACTTTACAGTTCACTGAAATTGAGGGGCTTCCAAATCTACTAGAAAAACATTTATTAAACTCATTATTTCCAAGCACTGGGATAAGTGCTAAGAAGATAAAGCCAAAAACAAGATTCCTGCCCTCAAGGAGTTTATGTTCTATTGGGTTATGTTCTAAGTAGAGTACATACTAAATATGTCCATACTACATAGGGAAGAGCAGTGAGTTGGGAGCTAGGATACCTAGGTTCTAGTCCTTGGACATACTTTCCTGGACATACTTCAATAAGTCACCACCTCTCTAAGCCTCAGTTTCTTTGCTCTTTCCGGAATGAGAACAATAAGCCCTGCCCTTCCTACAGTCAAAAAGGCTGATCAAATGAGCTAATGACTGTAAAAATGTTTCCAAGGTTGGGAAGTGTTGTAGGAATGGAAAGGATTCTCATTAGTGTTAAGAAGGTACCACTCCCCTCTGGGCATCTCTCTTTGCCCTCATTGGTATAATCACTGCGAATGACTAGACACCAAGTCACTGAGAACAGGAGGGTCCAGCAAAAGCCTTGTCAGTCTCTCCCTTTGGTCCTAAAGGACCAAGGAGTAAGAAGCTGTTCATTAGCTATGAAAGAATTCCTTGCCTTTTAATGGGAAGCAGGGGTTTTGCTTCTATGGCCAGTTCATTCTGTGTGTTGATTTCAACAGGTGCCCTCAAAGGTCAACTTTATTAAAGACTTGCCGTGACTTTCTTAAATAGAAGTCTTGAATCTATCTGGCTCCAGGAATTTAAATTGGAGAGTATTGGTCCAGTTAATTATCCATCTTTCCATTTTTACTTAGGAATAAATGCTGCTAGCCCCAAGAAAATGCACAAACTGCAAATAGGTAGCATGTTATATGCCCATTTAAATAAACTAATTCAAGTCGATTGGTGACCCCTCTGATATTCAACATGGAATTTTTTTTTTCTTTAAGCAAGGATTTTTGTAAACAAAAATATCTCCAGAACTTGCTAAAGTTAAGAAATGTTTAAAGAAACCTGTACTAAAGGCTCAAGGAATTGTTACTAGGCATGGCTTTCCTCCTTTTCCAAATAACATCTTTAGAATTGGTTTCCAGAGACTTAGAGTTAAATTTGTTTCTGGCCAGACAATTAAGAATCACGTGAAATCGTAATCAAATAATTAAGAACCAGATACCTTGACTGGAGGTTCCTGGAAAGTCAGTGAGCTACTTGTGCTCCTAACAAAGGTCCGTGCATCTCTGTGAGATCTTCGTGATTTGGAATGCTAAATTCTCTCAGCCATCAGAAGTGGAAGCTGCTTTTTTGCTCTTTCAAATGCAATTACATTGTTATCTCAAAACCCTTGCTCAGACTGAATTGACATAATCCAGAATTGCGGTAAAATGAAAGCTAAAATCATTAAAGAAAGAGGGCGCCTGGGGTGGTACTCGAATCCACAGGTAGCCAAGCCACAAGTGGTGAAATACAGTATTCTTTTTAACGGTCTACCCCTTGGGGGAGAGGGGAAGAGAGAGTCTATCCCTTTTGAATCGCAGAAGCACAATATTCTTCTCCAAACAGAAAAATTGCCTGAGCATTTCTAAAGAACAGCGGAGCTTTAAAGAAGAGAGAAAAAGGCAAAGTTGGACAGGAAAGCATTTTAGAAAGCCCAATGTAGGTTAGTATTTATGAAAAGATAAATCTTAAATAAATAAATCTTAATTAATTAAATCTATACGTAGGCAACACACACAATTTTAGCTATGAGAAAAAAAAAAGTTATCTTACCTTGGGGAGCGAGGTTTCCTGAAAAACTGCAGCTCTGAGAGCCGAGGTGCGGGTTTCTGCCTGAGTTGAGTTTCTAATCCTGTTGCTGTCCAATGCTGAAGCCTTCTCGGTTTATATCTACCGCCAGGCAGATGAGTGTAGGCGGTTGAGAAGCCCTCGCCAGCCAATCAAAAGACCTCTTGACCAAATCAACCAGTCGGCGGTAGGACTTGATAGCCTAGGTGTTCAAATGACGTCAGCCTCCAGTCATGCCAGTATCCCATTGACAAAACGTGCCAGACATCTCCCTGTTTCATAGGCTTACATTTGCATTGAGGTCATTGCAAAGAAAAAAAAAAGAGAGAGAAAAAGAGAGATGAGGGGGAGGGGAGGAAGATAAGAAAAACTGGGAAAGAGAAGCAAAACTCCAAAAGTTAATTAAAAGTAAGGAAAATTGTTTGACGTCATCAGTAATGGAAAGATACACTTTCCTGGCCTCCTGAGGCAAGGTGAGGATCACGTTTCTTTGAATGGGCACTTCAAGGGACAGATTAGGATTAGTGTAGGTACTTAATTCAAGTGACATCTACAGCAAAACATATGCATTGCAAGGGGATCTGCAGCTGAGGAAATGTTTGGGGGAAAGGAAATTTTAATCCCCACATCTCCTAATTCTGGCAGAGAGGCCTACCAGATATCACCAGGACTGGGCTGGGAGCAGCACACCCAAAAGCCATCCTAAGGCAGCTGGAGACATTCTCAGCCTACTGGTCTCAGTGGCTCTTGTGGCTGAAAGCGTCCATGGCTGGCTAGCTAACAGTTAGGGGAAATGTAGTGGGGAGACTGCACTAGCTGACCTCCCATTCTGTGAATCTATGATGCTCTTACCACCAGCAGCACCACCACCGCCATGATAGTTAGTCTATACAGTGGTTCTTTTAACTTCCCATGTAGCCACCAGCACCTGCTACTATAGACTGAAGTGCTTTATTTACACCTATACTTCCCTTCCCCTTTGCATTAGTCTATTAGGAGTCTAACTGGCCTGGAGTGCAATGAAAGAGTATTTAATGAATTTTGACTTTGGAGAACCAGAGAGTCAAGGTAAGACTTCCTAAGCCTCAGTGGGTACCATTGTCCTTTCCAGAAGGTCAGAGTTCAGAGGGAATTCAGAGTTTATCTAATCCAACCTCCTCCTTTTACAGATGCGTAAAAAATACATAGAGAGGAGCTTGATCAAGGTCACATTTCTAATTAGTGTCATGGCTTCAACTAGAACCCAGGTCTCCTAGTTCCAGGGCTCTACAGCACAGCGGTACAACCTGGGCCCACTCAGAGGGAGGACTGAACAGAGGAGCATACCCTCACACAGACATCCACCCCGACTGGACGAAGTCCAAGTGGCTGTCTTCCTCTCCCACTGACCCAGAGAGGCAAAGATTCTCTAGGACTATTGACCTACAGGTTGCCCCGATGCCTCGGCCAACCTCTGCTTCCTCAAAGAAAGGGGAAACCTGTCCCCTTCCTCTTCCAGAGTCCTCTTCCTCAGTGAGGGCTTCGAACCTCCCCCCTTAGATGCGCTATTAACCTGTCGGAAAGCCGGGCTCTATCTGCGCCTCTGCGGGTTCTCCGGGCTCCCTCTCTGGAGAGGGCAATCATCCCAAGAAGAAAAAGAAAATGGGAAACCAGCCTCTTGTCTAATCTGTTCTTGGGAAGCTAGGGAACCCGGCGCCGAGCGCCGATCACCCCGAATTTAGAGGGCTGAGTCTCCAGGAGCACTGGCTTTGACCGTTTGGCTGGCGGGAATACAGCCAGCTCTCAAAGTGTTTCCTCGAATTACTCCAGCTTCCAGGGTCTCCAGGCTTGCTTTCTACCTTCCTCTGGATGGCGGATTGGGGACAAGGTATGGCTAGTTACCGCGGGCCTGAGCCCAGGAGGCCGTCGGAGCTTCCAGCTCCCTCTGCCAAAATCTGGGGTGGTGGGGTTCCTAGCATTGCTTCAGCTACTCCCTGGACCTTCTCCCTAGTCCTTCCTCTACGCCACCCCTACCTCACGCTCCAGCTCCGGGCTGAGAGATCTCTCTGCTTCATCCATCACTGAGATACAGAGCTCGAAAGCGCTGGGTTTGCACAGCTGCCCTATGCCTCGGGGGCCTCTTTGCAGAGTTGCCCAGGAGGACAGGAAGGGTTCCTTAGTCGTTTCCCTGCAGCCTCCCACTGTGGCTCCCCATCAGTCCCCTGGCTAAATCGATGGACTGGCTCCATGCAAGAGCCTGCGCCTGGGAAGGGGAAGCAAAGGGATTAGAGACGGAAAGTTGGGAGGAGTTAGTAGTCCCGCTCGTGCACACACACACTGCCGATTCTCGTCCTGGGGAAAAGCAAGTTTTCGGGGAGTCTGCACATCTCCCTTGCGTTCACTCCCCTCCCCGCCACCTTGGTCCGGAAACCTTGGGTTGTCCAGTCTCAGAATTAAGTTTTGTCATCCACGTTTTAAGGGATGGTGAACAGACTCTTGCTCCTTCCCTAGTGCTTTCTTGGTGACTACGGCTGTGTGTGTAAACGCCCCTGGGAATATGGGTGTGTTTGGCAGTGTACGCGCGCGCCAGTGCTCTGCGCGCTCTGCAACGGTGCATCCTCGGCTCTGGCCGATTGCAGCCCTCCCAGGGAGAGCAGCGAGCCAACCCGCGGCTGGTGGGAAGCAGGACTTGGAACCGCTTGCTCGGAGATGGGGGCCCTGGGAGCTCCGCGAGCGGAGCGAGCAGCAAGAGGCGCGTTGGGAGCTGCGGCCGGAGCCGAAACAAGGGTCGGGTTAGGTGAGTTCAAGAATGAGGTCCATCGGCGCGAACTTGGGTTCCGCAAGACCTACCCAGTGTGTGTGACAGAAAGAGGGCTAAAGTGACATTTTGTCGGCTCAAGCTTCTCCTTTCCTCCCGGTTGGGCTATATGGTACCGTAAATACAGGGGCGTGGCGTCTGTCTCTGTCCGTTTGTCTGTATCTGTCTTTGTCTGTCCCTGTCTACACATCTGTCTGTCTATATGTCTCTCTCCGTCTATATGTCCGTCTGTCTACATCCCTGCCTATCTGTCTCTGCCCCGAGGTAGCTCTGCGCTGGGAACCCTTGGATGTCTGACCCGACTCTGAGCTTGGTCAAGGCTGGAAGGAAAGACGGTTGGCGACTTTGCTGAGGGTTGGGAAAAGGGAGATGTTCCCCAGCTGACTGAGCTGGAGGGAAAAGGGTGGAAGGGTAAGCCCGAAAGACGCCCAGGGTTCCACCCGGGCCGGGAGCTGTCCCTCTGGGCCGTTAAGGAAGTCAGGGACATTTGCTCACTCAGGTCCTCTGGCCCGACCTGAGGTCTTTTCAACAGTCTTTTCCTTATCGCCAAACATAGCAGGAAATTTCTGCTTTGAAAGAACCCACTCATGCCCTGGCATCCCCTCCATTCTTAGACATGGGAACCTAGATAGCTACTTTTCTGCACATCTCCCACCCACAACCAACAGTCCATCCAACCTCTGACTTAGGAGCAGCCTGACCTAGGCGCAGCCCAGATATCCCTCTCTCAACCATCTTCCTCACCTTCACACTGGGACGCCCTGGACCACCCGCCTAGAAGAAAGGCCGGAAACTAGGGCACAAAGGGAATGGGATAGGGTCTATCTGCAGCCCCTTAGCTGATTCCAGCTGAACCTTCACACCCAGACCACCCTGAGCTATCATGTCAGCAAAGAGCTGGAGGCTGGAGTGGGGGACGAAAGTGGTCCCTTCTAGTTGGAAGATGAAGGGATTCCTGGGAAAATGTGGGACTCCCAAATTTGGTCCTGATGTTTTAACCACCTGGGCAAAAACCTAATCTCCCAATTCTCTGGAGTTCTGATTGACTTGTAAAAGTAGAAGCCACTCTGAATATTTTTTTTGTAAACCAAGGTTGCTGTGAAGCCAAAGGCTGGGTTTTAAGGCACCGAGTTTCAACTGGCATTGCCCAGGTAATGAGATTCGTCTGTGTCCCAGACACAAGGGTCTGGACGAGTGAGGGACCTGGGGACCTGATTAAGGAAGGGTTCAGAGAAGGGACATAGGGTAAGTATCTAGGGCTCTGTGGCCTAAACCAAAAATATTAGACTGCTGGAGGGTCGGGCCTCTGGCAACGGGTGCAAACCTCGGGCTTAGGCAGAGGATCGAACCTCGGAGTCTGGAAAGGATCTGAGAGGTGCATAGGATACTTCACATCTGTGAATATGTGCTTTTTTAACTCTAAATACAGCACTGCAGATCATAGATTGAGGTACAAAAGCAAAATCAAAAAATAATCCTCTTTAGATAAAGACATGGAATCCTGAAGGAGTGAATAAACTGCTCAAAGTCACCTGGGGTGAAGGACTAAGTAGCAAAGGTCTCTTTCCATAGACACTTTACTCTCTGCCAAATAAAACTAGACTGTAGGTTCTCAGTCTTTAGGCTCTCCTGTGTCTTAGAATCATAGTTTTAGAGCTCTAGGATACTCTGAAGATCATCCCCTTGATTTTTACAGGAAGGGAAACTGAGATCCAGAAATGGGAAAGTAACTCGTTCCAAGTTCCACAGGGAGTAACCTTTTGCCTGGACTAGAACCCACCTCTCCTGATTCCCAGTGAAAACACCAGTCTGTACCTTGCTTTCCTTTTGGTGCCCAGCAGCGCCTAACACGACCAATAAGAGTTGTTAAATGTGGGGAGGGATTAATTGATTTCTCAGTTCTCCTTCTCCGATAGACGTCCAAAGCAGACAAGAAGTAGGCTCCAGTTCAGCCCTGTCCCATACTTGGGGAAAGGTGCCAGGAGCGAGATAGGGAAGAGGTGGGAAGAACCCCAAGAGACCGATGTCTGCAAACCTAACCAGACTCACTAGACCTCTCGTGGAGCTTCTCAAGTACTAATTTCCCTAGCTTGTGACCTGAGCGGAGTTACATAGAGCGTCACCCCTGCCTTTCCTGGCCCGACGGCCCTGCCAGTTTCCCTGTACCTTCTCCACAGCTTTTAGTTTGGTCTGACTTTGGGGACCCCTGCTTGGTGTGGGCCTTTGTCCCATCCACTGGGAGAGTCAACTTGATTTA